TTGGACACCCTTGTCGTTAAACCGGCCATCACCTCTGTCCCCACTCCCTCCGGGTCCACGTCCCTCTAATTCCCGGTCTGGATGCTTCTCCGCCCGGCCCCTGCCCCAGCCTGCAGTTCCGGAAAGCTCCCTCGGCGGCGGCGGACCCCTTTCCAAAGGAGCCGCGCAGGGGTGGACTTCCTGGCCGACTTCCTTGCCCGAAGGGGCCTGGCTTGGCATCCAGCTCTCCCGTTTGGCAGTCTGGGAGGCGAAGGCAGCCCTCCATCCTGTCCAGTTTCAGTTTCTGCATCTTTACGACGAGGGCATCCGGATCGTTGCGGAGCCTGGCACAGGGGGGTGGTAGGAGAGGTGACATTCAAGGAGTGATAAGGCTGCTGCTGCTCCTCCCCATCTTCTTCCGTCTAAAGTTTTTCTTTTCAACTGTCCACAAAATCTCTTGTTTCTCACTTAAAAGAACAAAAGCCCCAGATGGTTATAGTCATTGTTATTTTTATTACCCTCCCCAGGAACTCCAGGATAGGCCTCCTCTTGCCTCTCGATGCCAGTTTAGACTTGGGCTTCCCTCCTTGCGTCCTTCCCTGTCTCCCTGAGGCGGGGGCACAGTCATACTCCCCTTTGGGGAGCAGTTGACGAGGCTGTGGCTCCCTGATTATGGCTCAGAGGTCTTAGGCTGACTCCAAGGGCTGGAGCACAAGGGCTCCCGGGAAGAAAGTGCCCACCTCCTCGAAGGAAGATAGACTATCCCAGGAGCTGATCGCTAATAATTATTGTTTTAAAGGGAACCCCATTCTGTCATCTCCTAGCCAGGGCTGGGGAGAGATCTGGGTGGGGCAGTGACCGACCAGTCTCCTCCCATCACCTCTGGCCCAGGACACTCCTCCCTGCGGAATGCCACCAGCCGCCAGGAATGCTGGGGGTGTTGGGGGCAGCCTGCCGGGCCTGATGACTGACTCTCCTTGCAGATGTCACTGGCGAGGACCTGGCACGTGGCTGCCTAGTGCCTGGAGTCACCAGCACCTACAGACCGATCCCAGATGCTGCTCCAGGGTACTCGTCAGACTCCTGGGAGGGAGGTGGCAAGCTGAGAAGTCTTGAAAGGCAGGTGCCGCTTCTCAAACTGGCCTCCCAGGACTCAGGAGTGGAGATGGCAGTTGGGGACAGCTCCCTGGCCACCTCATGGGGGCTTTCTCAAGACTCTCTGAACTTTGAGCCCATGGATAGCCCTGAGGCCCTGGCTCTTGGGGCTGTGGAGGATCCTGCCCACATAAGCCGGCTTCTGGCCAGCCGTAAGCTGGAGCAGGTGCTGGAGCGGTCCCGCCAGCTCCCGACTTCCCCTGCCAGCTTGTCACAACACTACCGCTCCCTGAGCCCACCCAGCCAGCCTGAGTGTGAAAAGCCTCTTTTTGGAGCAGGGGGACAGGAGGCCACTGAGGCAGAGAGTGACCTAGAGGCAGGCCTGGAAGAAGCAGAGGTGGTGAGTGCCAACTCTCAAGAGTGGGATGGAGATGGGCCCCCCCAACGTGTTCTGTCTGGAGCTCTCAGGGTGGGCCATTCCTTGCCCCTAATTGATGAGCTGTGTGAGAGCTTCTTACCTCCACACACTCCCAGCTGTGTGGAGGCAGGCAGGTCTGGGGCCTGCCTGGCATGGGGCCTGGCTGGGCATGGGGAGGCCAGTTGGGTGTGTGTTCCTCTTCTTGCTCTGCCTCCGTCTGCTGGCCCCTCAGGGTGGGACTCTGGTTGAGTTCAGAAGTCTCTCCCACAGGTGAGGCCTGAAGCCCAGGCCTGCCTCCCGGGGCAGGGTCTTCGCTACCTGGAACACCTGTGTCTAGTGCTGGAGCAGACGGCGAGGCTCCAGCAGCTCTACCTGCAGCTGCAGACTCGGAGGGCCTCTGGGGTGAGTGAGCCGGGGACGCTCAGGCCAGCAGGAGGGCAGCTGAGTGGGGAGGCGGAGGAGGGATGAGATCCCTGGAACCAGGACTCCTTTCAGAAGAGCCTCAGCCCTCTAGCCAGGCCTGGAGAGCCCATTTCTCTTGTGCACAGGATCCTGAAGAGGAGGAGTCAGAGGAGTCAGCTGTGGCCCCTTCATCTCCATCCTCTCATGCCCCAGGCAGTGAGGTCCATGAGCCGTGGGAGCGGCTCAGCCAGACTAAGAAGACAGGTGAGGGACTGCTGTGTCTCCCTCTGTATCCTGCCTGCCCAGGGCCCCACAGGCAGACCCCCTGAGCCCTGGGCTTGAGGGGTTCCTTCCTGTTCCTGGCCTTGGGTAACCTGATTCTCTTCCTGAAGGAGCAAAAACAGCTTCACCCCCAAAGGCAGGGGTCCCCAGCCCCAGCCCTCCCAGGCTGTCAGAGGCCCCAGCAGAGCACGCTCACACCTTCTCATCCTCCCAGGGACACAGGGTAGGTGAGGGATATATGCTGGGGCAGGTGAAGGATGAGGTGGGGGTGAGGTGTGGTTGGGATGTGTAGATCCCCTGAAATGAGAGGCTTCCTGTTTGGAGCAGGTGACTTTTCCTGGCTGTGGTGATAGCTCTCTGGGAGCTTGGTCTGGGGTATGTTGTGTAGGGGGGATCTGGGCAATCCTTTCACCCTCTGCTCAGTGGGATCTCTCCCACTGAAACAAGGTCAAGGTCCTTCTCAACCGGATCAGATGGAGGAGCCCTCGACCTGCTGAACCCGCTGCCCTTCCTGACAGCCCTGCCCCCAGGTGAGTGCCATGGCCCAGCCCAGGAGGTGCAGTGGGGAGCTTGATGAACTAGGATGCTGAGATTGTGTTGCTGGCTGTTCTTGTCTCTGCAAAAATTTTGTTGTTGTTGTTGTCGTTTTGGTTCTGAAGGGGCGAGGTAATTAGGTTTATTTATTGTTTACCTATTTTTTAATGGAGGTACTGGGGATTGAACTCAGGACCCTGTGCATGCTAAGCGTGCGCTTTACCACCGAGCTATACTCTTCCCCAACCTGCAAAATTTAAGAGGCATGGTCTTGGAGAGGGTGCCTGGAAGAAACAGAAAGTAGTTAAAGTGCCCCATGTACAGATGAAGAGGCTGAGGACTGGGCTGGGGAAGGAAGTCATTTTCCTGAGGCCACATGGTGAGTCAGTGGCAGAGCCAGAACCAGAATATGGGAAATCCTCACATCAGCCTAGCAAGCCCTCATCCCTCAAAGCTGAAACTTAAGTCACCTCCCTAGGTTTCCCCAAGAAAGCAAGGAGGGCACATAGGATTCCACAGTGGGAGTGGGTGCTGGGTACTGAATGATTCTCCTTGTCAGTTAACATCCGTAGCCCCTCACAAAGCTGGGCCATCTCTGGGGTCATCGTTACCTTTGTTTCTTCTAATCTGATGCCTTTCTTTCTCCATAGGACTGCATCAGGGGGCCTCCGTGAAAGGCCTCCATGCCACCCCCTCCGGAAGACCTTGATGCCATCGTCAGCAGTTAAGAAGCAAAGAACAAAAAACCTTTCTGTGCACTGAGACCTCCTGGTGCTGGGATGTGACCCCGGGTGGGAGGGAGCCTTCTTCCTCACCCTTTGCCCTGTTGTGGGCACTGCCTGGAAAAGATGCTGACACTTGCCCTTCTCTCTGAGCCTGGGTCCCTGCGAGGCCCCAAGATATGGCAGCTCCCAGGCTCCTCCCCGGTTGCCAGAAATCTCTGGGCTTAGGCAATGTGAACTAACTTATATATCTATCATCCATGGAGTATGTTCATCATGGTGATCTGTCGGGGCCCAGTGTGTTGCAGATGTGTATTTATGCAAAGTGATGTATATCTGTGGGACTGTCAGTGTGGTGAGCTGGCTGGAACCAACCACCTCTCTGGAATCATGCAGTCACAGAGTTGGTTTTTGGGGTGAGGTAACTGCAGAACGATGGAACTGACCTTCATTCCTGAGCGGGCAGTAACTGATCTGGAGTCCTGTTTTCCTCCATATACTTGTGTGGGCAGCCCCAGGACAGAGGAGGGTGGGTGGCTCTGCACTGAATACTTGCCCCTGAAAGACTGCACCAGGGATGGGAGAGTCAAGGACAACATAGGGAACAGCAGAGTATTCTTCAAGGTCTGTTCTCAGCTGCTGTACTCTTTACTAGCCTTTCCATATCACAGCTGAAACCAGAGGCCCATACTACCTTTAGACCTTGAGAAAAATCCCTTAACTTTTCTGAGCCCTAGCTTCTCACTTAATCTCCCAAGTGGTATAATGATGTCTGCCCTACCTACCTCACAGGCTTGTTATGGGGATAAAATGAGATTAAACTGTCTCAACATGCTTTGTGAATGTTAAATGAATAGGAAGGGTGTTGGAGGGAGGCTAGACTGGAGGGATGATGGAAGGTCAGAGGAAAAGGGGGAACTGGGGTTGCCAACTGGGAGTAAAATGGCCAGTGATTAGTGGCAAGACTTTGAGCACGTCATTTCATTGAAGTCTCTCAGGTTTCATATCTGAGAATTAGGACACTAATTCCTGCCCTGCTTGTATCCCAAGGGTTGATGTGAGGACTAAAGGAAATTACCATGAGAACTCTTTGTAAATATATACCTAAATATTTTGGAGGCTTATTTTACTATAGCCTGTTAGGTTCCTACCTCTTTGTTAATTGAGAAAGGGGGAAGTCTCTTCTCCTGCACCCAAAGGATGGGAGGTGTGTGTGTGTGTGTGGTGGGGGGGTGCCGTCAGCTGAAGAATAGGGATAGGGATGGGGTCATTGGCTTGAGTCAGTTACAAGAATGTCTCCAAGAAACGGGCACTGTATTAGGCATCCTCTTCCTCCAGTCAGGAGTTCAGCTGGTTCTCTTGCTGTGGTCTTGGGGTCTGCCAGAATGAGGCAAGGTGGGGATGGTAGGTGCTCCCTTAAGTATAGGGGTACAGGTCCACTTGTCTTGGCACCAGGAACCAATTCTCCGAAGCCTTCTTTCCTAATGGGACACTTAAGCGAGGACACCACCGAGGCGCGGCTTCCTAGCGCGCATCCGATGGGGGAAGGCGCACTTCCGTTCCGCAGTTGGAGCGGGATGGCAGGCCGGCGTGGGGGAAGGGAGAGGTCGGTGGAGAGGAGGGAGGGACCATATCCGGGAGAGTGGCAGCTTCCGACCAGTGGTCGCGCTTCCGGAGAGGCGTTTCCGGTGGCGGCGGCAGCAGCGGCTGTGGTGGTTCCGGGTGTCTTTGTCCCCCCGGTGTCGCGGCCCTGGCCCGCAGGTGGGTTGGGGGGCCTCCCGCCGCCCCTCTGCCCCTTCGCCCCTCCCCCGGCCGAGGGGCTGCGAGGGCCGGGCGGCAAGGATGCTCCGGGCACGGAAGGGGTCGAGTCCCCCTTCCGACTGCAAGTCCCGTCTCCCTGGCAACGGCCTCGGCCCTGGGGGCGGGCGGGAGGAGGAGAAACCGCGCGCCTTCGTCCTCCCACGGTGGGCCTGGCCGCGGCCTGGCTCAGGAGACCCGGTGCCGGCGGCCGCTGAGGCGGGAGCCGAGGGCCGGGGAGCGCGGGCGCAGGAGGGCGGGCGCGCAGCCGGATTCGCGTTCGGCCGGGCCACGGAGCTGCCTTCCAACCAGCCCGTCCGGGGAACAACGGGCCGGGCTTCCGGGGAGAGGGCCCACACCGTCTCCTCTCCGGCACCAGCCTCCTCCATTTTTCCGGGCCTTGCGTGGAGCTTTTTGGCGGATGTATTTGAATGAATGAATGTCACCGGGGCTCTTTCCAACCCCCACTCTCCCCAACCATCTGAGGGTGGCGTGGCGTAGTGAGAGGAGCGCTCAGTTGTCGGGAGACCTGGGTGTGAGTCTTAGTTTTGTCACTACCTGGTTATGTGGCCTCTGGCAAGTCTCAATCCCTTCGAGCTTCAGTTTCCTTTTCTTTAAAAGATCATAACAGTATCATCCACCACTCGGTTACTGCGAGGGCAAACCGGAACATTGTAATTTCTCCATTTCCTGCTTCTCTTTATACTCTTAACATCCATCTCCTCCATTCATTCTCAGTACCCACATTCTTCCTTTCCTTATAAGATCCTTAGTTCCTTTTTTGGGGTAGATGGGAATGTTCCCTATGAGCTGTTAATTTATTTCTTTTCTGATTGAAGGTTTTTTCCCAAGACTCTGAAAGAGGACAGCATTCCCAATGTCCCAGTTTAAGCGCCAGCGGATCAACCCACTTCCTGGGGGCCGCAACTTCTCAGGTGATCCCCTTTATCCTTCCCTGGCCTCATACTGGGGAGTTCGTGCTTTGGAGTTAGTCTTTAAAAAAGTGGCTTTTGGGGTTTCTGTGGCAGAGTGCAATTTGCTGTTGATGAAAACAGGAGATGACCACAGTGGTTGTCAGAGAAACCCTGTGTGGGATTTGCTTGGATCTGCTTTGCCCTTTGAGTTTACCATATCCTCTAGCTGACTAGTGCTTAAGGTGCTACGGGGCAGTTCCTGGATTGCTTCTCTGTCCCAATAGGCGCAGCTTCAACATCTCTTCTGGGTCCTCCACCTGGTTTGCTTACTCCTCCTGTGGCCACAGACCTGTCCCAAAATGCCAGGCACCTTCAGGTAGGTTGGGCGTCCTTTCTAGTGAGTTTCGGCACTTGGGACTATCTTAGTGCTTTCATTCTTACATCACAGTGTTCATCCTTCCTGACACTCCTGTCCTGGGCCAGTCCGGAGGTGACTAGACACCTCTGACTGGGGAGTCCTAAGTTTTGGCTCTAGGGAACTCTTTAGGGTGCTTCTTGGAATTAAAGAACTGGAAATCCTAGAAGAAGTTTGTGACCCAAGAATCAGCATGAGCCCCCACCCCCAATGGGTCGATCATGTCCACTCTACTCTTACGCTTCTTTCTATAGGAATCTCCATGTAATACTCTGGTTGAGCTGGGGGGCATGGATAAAGATGAGAAGCTAATGGCGGAGTGTGGACAAGTGCACTCCATTTCCTTTAAACTGCACTCTCCTCTCACAGGGTGGGGAGAAGCAGCGGGTCTTCACTGGCATTGTCACCAGCTTGCATGACTACTTTGGGGTGGTGGATGAAGAGGTCTTTTTTCAGCTAAGGTAGGCCCGAGGCGGGTCCCCTTTTGGAAATGCTTATTGAATTCGGTTCTGTCACCATGCTGGTGGGTCCCCTCTGAAGCCGTTGCTTTGCTGTTTTTATGCGAAGTTTGAGAACTCTTGACGGGAAGGGCCTCAGAGGGACAGTCAGGGTGGCTTGGCCAGGGTCTCTCCTAACTGGGTCTCCTGGCTTGTATGCTGGCAGTGTGGTGAAGGGCCGGCTACCCCAGCTGGGTGAGAAGGTGCTGGTGAAGGCTGCATACAACCCGGGCCAGGCAGTGCCCTGGAATGCTGTCAAGGTGCAAACGCTCTCCAACCAGGTATTCGTCTCTCCCTGGCATGTGTGTTGGAAAGGGGTGGGAGGGAAGCCCCTGTGCCCTGAAAGCTGGGCAGGAACCTTACTTTGGTTAAGGGGGCGAGGCTGCATCTTTCCAAGGTAGTGAGTACATCAACCCTGGGATGCCCTGAATTTTCTGGTTACTGTCCTGCAGCCCCTGCTGAAGTCCCCAGCACCTCCCCTTCTACATGTGGCAGCCCTGGGCCAGAAGCAAGGGATTCTGGGAGCTCAGCCCCAGTTGATCTTCCAGCCTCACCGGATTCCCCCACTCTTTCCTCAGAAGCGTGAGTACCAGTGGCATGGATGCTGGGGGTGTGGCTTTTTGTGGTATTCTGGGTGGACATGTAACTGTTAGGTTGCTGCTTTTGGAACAGAAGTGGGTACTTCATGCACTGGAAGAAAGGGACAGGAAAGTTGGGCAAATACTTAGGGTTTTTGAGTCATCAGCAGTTTCCTTTCTGCAGCTCTGAGTCTCTTCCAAACATCCCACACACTTCATCTGAGCCACCTGAACAGATTTCCTGCTCGGGGCCCTCATGGACGATTGGATCAGGGCCGAAGGTAAGACGATGATAAGCAGGAAAGGCGTTTTATTTATTTGTGTCTAGGAGGAGGTCCCTTCCTTTGCCACTAATGTTCTCATGTGTTGACACTGACATTCTCTTTCTGCAGTTAGATTCTAGTCCCTTTACCCTGGAATAGGCTGATACGCTGAGAAGCATATGCAAATGTTAGAGCTTTATAAACTGGTTCAGCAGGTAGGGATTTGAGGTAATTCATCTTTCACATTGAGTGTTTTTTTTAGCATATAGTTTTCCCTTTTATTTCTAGTCTCTAAGATTGGGACACGAAGAATCAAAACTATCAAGAAAATAGTAAACTGTCCAAAAAAAAAGTAACTTTGCAGTGTATTTTTTTAAATTGAAGTATAATTTACAATATTACGTTAGTTGATGGCATACAACATGGTGATTGGATATTTTTATACATTATGAGATGATCACCATAATAGGTCTAGTTACCATCTGTCACCATACAGAGTTGTTATGATATTATTGACTGTATTCTCCATGCTGTACAGTACATCCCCAGGGCTTATTTATTTTATAACTGGAGGTTTGTACCTCTTAATCCCCTTTCACTGTTTTGCCCGTTCTGTCCACCCTCCTCCTCTTTGGTGACCACCAGTGTTCTCTGTATCTATGAGTCTCTCTCTTTTCTTTTTTTTTAAACATTTTTTATTGATTTGTAATCATTTTACAATGTTGTATCAAATTCCAGTGTAGATCAGTTTTTCAGTTATACATGAACATATATGTATTCATTGTCACATTTTTTTCTCCGTGAGCTACCATAAGATCTTGTATATATTTCCCTTGGCTATACAGTGTAATCTTGTTTCTCTATTCTACAATTTTGAAATCCCAGTCTATCCCTTCCCACCCTCTGCCCGCTTGGCAACTACAAGTTTGTATTCTATGTCCATGAGTCTGTTTCTGTTTTGTATTTATGCTTTGTTTGTGTTTTTTTCTCTCTTTTTTTTAAACGTTTGTTTTTTAGTTTTTCCGCAGTGCATGGTTTAATTCTTAGAAAGTGTTCTCTTTGGAGATGAGAACTGTGCTGAGAAGGAAACAACCCCCTACCCCAGAGGCCAGGAGATTGTTACAGGATAAGGGCTGAGAAAGCGGTCCGGTGCGAATGCTTGAAAGGAGCACGGAGGCCCTCGGAGAAGCTGAGGCGAAGTGGTGCAGCTCCTCTCCGGGCTGCAGCTGGGCTCCGTTCCCTGGGATAGGGCATGATGAACTCTGACTGTGCAGGGCTGTTTCCCAGTGTCTCCACTGCTTGAAACACTGTTTCAGTCTCAAGTCACTGGTATATATTTTGCCTACACCCAAATCTCTTGCCCTGTGCATCTTCTTGGTCTTCAGTTTCCAAGGACTTTCCACCTCTCACGTTGAGTTTCTTAGAGGCTTCACTACAGAATCACAGCGGGTGCCCTCAGGGCTAATGTAGCCTGGGTAGAATCAATGGCTGCTATTGACTTTCTGCTTTAGTTTCTAGACAGCTGGTTGCATTCGATTGTCCAGGACATGCCAAGCTCCGTGCAAGGCCTGTGTTCTATTTTTTGGCCTTAATGCTTTGGTGTCAGGGCTTCTAGAGAAAGGAGACATGACTGTCAGGAGGGAGTTACCACCATCAGTCAGTAGAGAGAATTTGCAGAGTAGGAAAAGGGGCAGTAGGAATGAGGTCACCCTGGTGGGGAGCGACAGTTTATCATGGAGCTGGCCATGTTAGCATTTGACTGGAAGCCAAGTTTTATTTTGAACGTCAGGTCTTGGGATGCAGGGGACAGTGTCTCCACTGGATGGCTACAGGTGAACCACTGAGGTTTGCAGACAGGTGTACTCAGCTGGATGTACCATCTCGGTGCCCTCCTGAGGGTACTGGGGTCGCCCACTGGTCATGCCTTAACCTGTTCCTGACAATTCACGGTAAGGGGAGGAGACTGGCTCCTGAGTTCACAGGGTTCAGTGGGGCAGCCACTGTGAGTCGAAGAGTTCACGGCAGTCCTGGCTGAGCTGAAGAGCTGTCCAGATGACTCTAGAACAGTTCTTCCGTTGGAGACACGGAGGCACTGCCATCCCACCAGGGCAGGATTAGAGGCAGCTTTTGGGGGGAGATGCTAATGAACGACATTACCCAGGCAGATAGAAGAGAAGAAAACTTCGTGTTAAATGTCCTCAGTTCAGTTACTTGGGGGTGTAATGACTAGGGAGCAACCCAGGCGGGTCTAATAGGGAAGAGCAGGGACCTTCTGGTAAGTATCAGCAGCTCGGCACCCCCTCAGCAGGAAGACTTGACGGTTCATTTTATTTCTCTTGTAGGACATGGGTTTCTTCCCTCCTTACCAGTCTGGCATTTTCTAATGGTCTAAAGGTTTTTTCCCTCTTCTGCTTTTTTTAATTTATTGCACCTGTAACATAGTGATACTGTGATGTGATTTATTACAAAAATATATGAAGTAGTGCATGCTGTCATGCTGTTACATAAAGTTAGAATATTATGAAAATATCATTCCTTCTTTCCCTTTAAAGGTAACCATTAAAATTTTTTTTATTACAGTACAGTCAACTTACAATATTATAGTAGTTTTGGGTGTACAACATAGTGATTCAGTATTTTTTACAGATTATACTTCTTTGAAGGTTTTTATAAAATGTTGGCTATATTCCCTGTGCTGTGTGTTACACCTTTGTGTCTTATTTATTTTGTAGATAGTAGTTTGTTCCTCTTAATCCCCTACCCCTATCCTCCCCCCAATCCCCAAGGTAACCATTCTTAAAGACCTTTAGAAAATAATTTTGAAAAGCAAAACTACTTTCTGCCACTTTTTCCCCCATGTTCTTTTCTAGTCTTTACATATGCATAATTTTTATAATTTTTGTTTGTCTTTTTTTATTTTGAGGGAATAATTAGATTTTTATTTATTTACTTATTTATTATTTTAATGGAGGTACTGGGGATTGAACCCAGGATGTTGTGCATGCAAAGCAAGCACTCTACCAACTGAGCTATACCCTCCCCCAGCTTTTTATAATTTTAATCTTAGAGTTTAGATTTTTTTTATACATTCTTATTGAACATCTATTCCCTACTGCAGTGTAATCCTCATGATTGTTTTAATGGCTGTATGACGGTTGTACTTATTTACTATAAAAATTCAGCATCGCTAGATGTACGTGTGGTTTTCTTACTCTTAGCAACAGTTTTTTCTACTATATATAAGCTTTTTTCTTCTTTTGAATTAACTTCCTTGGGATAAATCTTTTAAGAGTGAAATTACTGGATCAAAGGGTTGGAATATTTTTATGACTTTAATGTGTACTGCTAAGGGTTTGTTAAAAGAACTGTCTCCTAGTAAAACTTACTTGATAGAACCCATAGCATTGTACTATATATATATATATCGTTTAAAAAAAGCAGTTGAATTTTTTGTCATTTCAAAAAGTTACACATTAACTATAATTTATAAAGTTCATTAAAATATACAAAAGAAAATTATTCATAGCTTTATCAGTCAGAGGTAGCCACCATATATATTTTATTTCTGTTCAGTCTTTTAAAGCTTTTTTTGCACATTTGAGGCATTACTGTATATATAGTGTTGCAGACTCTTCTTTTTGTTTAACATGAGTGGTTTTCTATGTTATTAAAAGCATTTAACTATCCTTTTTAATGTCTTTTATAACAATCTCTTATATGGCTGTTAGCACGGCTTCTTCATTCATTTCTTTAATGTTGGGAATTCAGATTGTTTCCAGTTCTTTTTGGGCCAGTATGTACTGAATCTGTATGTAACAGTATGGTTTCTTCCTTCTGGTGATGGATCAATCTCCAGCGATGACTATGACTCCAAGAAACGCAAACAGCGGGCTGGTGGAGAGCCTTGGGGCGCTAAGAAGCCAAGGCATGACCTGCCTCCCTACCGAGTCCATCTCACTCCCTATACTGTGGACAGGTCAGTGGCGAGTCTGGGGGTGGGGCGGGACTTGCAGCTGGTAACAGTTACTTATGTAAATGAGCTTAGTCTATTTGGGAGTGAGTGAGCTGAGTGTGTTCTTATGACCTTTTGTTTATTTTTGTTTTTGTTTGTTTTTTAATGTGATAGATTTATTTCAAAGTCTCAAATTTTGACCAGCTGGCACCACTGACATGGGTGCCCTGATAGAAGTTAATGATTTGATCACCAGAAATTGTTATGCCACTCAACAGTGAAAGCTTACCAGTCAAAATCCAGGTACCCAATACCAGTTACAAATCAGATAGAAACTGTGCTCCTCAGAGCCTAGGACTGGCTTTCCAGGGGAGCTCGGAATTAGTGTGTAAGTGCTACAGCACGTGTGAAGCCACCGGCCCACAGGCTAGCTCCTCAGACGCAGGGACTGACCAAGAGGTAGAGGAGCGGTTCCAGAGTCCGTCTAGCAGAGCAGAGGCAGGGCTCCAGCTGCTGCAAGATGGGAGGGAAGGAGGGCCATCACTGCTCTTCCCCGTGTCACTGGTTCCTCTCCCCAGGCCAGGCCTCTCCTGCCCTCCGTGCTGACCCACCTGCCTGCCACGGTTAACCTAAGACACTGGGCTGTACACTGTCACCCCTGGAGCGGTGAATACAGAGCCACCTCACGTGGTCAGAACGTGACTGCTAACAAGTAGCCACACACACAGCTGTGTTTTTTAAAATACAAATGGAAGCATGTTGTACATACTGTTTGGTACTTTACTTTTTTGCATATGTTGGAATTTATTCCATATTAACATTTATTAGATTGATCTCATTCTTTTTAGCAGCTACATGGTATTCCACGAAGTGGATGGACCAGAATTGATTTAACCAGCTCTCCATTTTTTAGTCTTTAATGATCCTAAATACTGTAATAAACATCCACCTCTGTATGTATGTGTGGACAAGCATTCTGTCGAGCTCAGTTCCCAGAAACGGAGTAGCCGGCTCACAGGTCTGACTTCCACCCGGCAGGTTGGCCGTCTCTCAGGGGCTCTGTCCGTTTACCTTCTCACGAGGGGCCTGCAGTCCCTGCTCCCCCAGGGCTTTGCCAACACTGTCACCCAGCCTTGTGATCTCTGTTAGTCTGATGGGTGAAAAATGACATTCTGATTTGCATTTCTTTAATTAGGAGTGAGACTGAGCATATTTTCATGAGCTTTTAAGTCTCATTTCTTTTCTGAGTATTTGTTGGTAACAGTTTTCTCTTCGACTTGTGAACTTTGTTAGTGGTTTGTGGGTTCCTTTTATATTAAGACAGTGACCCTTTTCTCTGTCACATACTGCACATGTCTTTCTTTCCCAGTTTGACTTACTTTGCCATTAGAGGTTGTAACATTTTAGCGATCAAATCTAATCCATCTTTGTCTTTTCAGGTGTCTGTCTTAGAAATTTTCCCTTTCTCAGGTCATAAAAAAATTTGCTCCCCTTTTCTCTCAAGTCTTCTGTGGTTCCATTTAAAGAATAATTTAGTCTTTGCTTAATCTGGGATTCCTTGCTTTCTTCCTACAGCCCCACCTGTGACTTCTTAGAACTCCAGCGCCGTTACCGCAGCCTCCTGGTTCCCTCAGATTTTCTGGCCGTGCATCTGAGCTGGCTGTCGGCCTTCCCTCTGAGCCAGCCCTTTTCCCTCCATCACCCAAGCCGCATCCAGGTGTCTTCTGAGAAGGAGCCAGCTCCAGACGCTGGTGCTGAGCCCATCCCCGCAGACAGTGACCCCGCTTACAGTTCCAAGGTAAGGCGGCTGGGGGTCCTGCCACTTTATCCGATTGCTGGAGGCTGAGAAAGTGCTCCAGGGTCTCCTTCACGCTGCCCCTGCACAGGTACTGCTGCTGTCTTCCCCGGGCCTGGAGGAACTGTATCGTTGTTGCATGCTCTTTGTGGATGACATGGCTGAGCCAAGGGAGACACCGGAACATCCTCTGAAGCAGATTAAGGTAAGAGCTGAATCCAGGAGGCAGGATGCATTCATTGACAATATTCAGTCCCAGTCAGATTTTCAGCAGCTCCAGCTCCTGTTCATGAACTCATAGAAACGGATTATCACAGCTAAAATGCCACTCATGTCACCAGAGGACAGCGTGGCTCAGAGATGTTCCTACATGTCAGTTATGGGCGGTTCATGTCCATGGGTAGAGACTCCCCCACCCTCCCCAGATGGCAGACTCTTCACATCCTGCTGCCTTCACTTCCCCACGGTGGCAGGTTGCCTCCCAGTGGGAGACCCAGGTAACATCCCTGGTCTCTTTTTGCAGTTTTTGCTGGGCCGGAAAGAAGAGGAGGCGGTGCTGGTTGGAGGCGAGTGGTCTCCTTCCCGGGATGGCCTCGACCCCGAGGGCGACCCGCAGGTGCTAGTGCGCACCGCCGTCCGCTGCGCGCAGGCCCAGGCCGGCATCGACTTGAGTGCCTGCACCAAGTGGTGAGTGGCCGCCCGAGCTCCGCCTTGGCCCGCCCGCTGCGTCAGCGAGACCGGTCAGGAGGCCGAGCTCCTAAGCCTTTCTGACCTGTTAGTTTTCTCCTGTTCCCGAGCCCCAGCTCGTCCCTCCCTCCAGCCCTCACAGCGGTTGCTGTGGTCGTGAGCACCGCTAGGGATGTGTATGCCTGTTGAAGTTAGCGGAGCCTCCAAGGCTCACTAGATGTGGTTCCCCAGTCACATTCCGTGCTCCTCCTTGTGGCCATAGCACCCCGGATAGTAAGCGTTTGCTTATTGTGTCTCCCCGGTGACGAACCATTTCTTGAGGACTTGGTCTGTATCTTTCATCTTTGTACTTTCAGAGCTTGGCACGCAGTGTGTGTTCATTAATCGCTGATCGGAAACTGAAGCATCTGCTTGCGAAGGGAAGGCCAGGAGTCAGTCCTTCACTTTCCCTTTTGCTGTGAGCAGGTGGCGCTTTGCTGAATTCCAGTACCTGCAGCCGGGACCCCCGCGGCGACTCCAGACTGTGGTGGTGTACCTGCCGGACGTCTGGACCATCATGCCTACCCTGGAAGAGTGGGAGGCCCTGTGCCAGCAGAAAGCTGCAGAGGCAGCTCCCCCACCCCAGGAGGTGCCTGTGGTGAGGCCAAGGCTTATGAACACGTGGGGGAAGTAGGTGCCCTAACCCCTGGACCCAGGTGGTCCCAGCTCCCGACTTCTGTCACAGGAAGCAGAGTCCACCGAGCAGGCCACTGACGCACCGGAGCCAGCGGCAGACACCCCCAGACAGAATGCAGAGACCCCAGAGGCCACTGCACAGCAGGAGATGGACACGGATCTCCCAGAGGCCCCGCCACCCCCCCTGGAGCCTGCTGTTGTGGCACGGCCTGGCTGTGTGAACTTGTCCCTCCACGGTATTGTGGAGGACCGGAGGCCCAAAGAAAGGATCTCTTTTGAGGTAGGTGTAGGAGTCCAGGGGCTGTGGGGCAGGGCATGTGGGGTGGCGGGGTTTGGAATGCTCTGTCTTTTGATGCTTGTGGCCCCTGCCGCTTGTTCACCAGGTGACGGTGTTGGCCGAGCTCTTTCTGGAGCTGCTGCAGAGGGATTTTGGCTACAGGATTTATAAGACACTGCTGAGCCTTCCTGAAAAGGTCGTGGCCCCCCCTGAACCTGAGAAGGAGGAGGCGGCCAAGGAGGAAGAAGCCGTCAAGGAAGAGGCCAAGGAGTCCAAGGATGAGGTACAGAGTGAGGGCACAGCTGCCGCGTCAGACGCCCCGCCGGTGAGTACCTCTGCCACCCGATGTGGGCACGGGCCGCACACAGAAGCGCCGAGTAAGAGCCGGAGGGCCATGTGGGCACCGTGCGGGTCTCCTTTCATTACCCCACCTCACTGCCCACGCCTCATGACCCCGGTGTGACCCTGGTGTAGGGCACTTAACTCTCCCACGTGGCCACACAGCCTGAGAGTGGGGTCCCCGGGAGAAGGGGGCGGGCCTGGAGGAGTGATGCCGGGGCAGCACAGGTGTCTGCCTCTGTTCACAGCCGTGCTCCGGGCGGTTCAGGTGCTTCGATCACCTGACAGTTAACTAGAACACTGCATTTCCTTAGCCATTTCTAATGTACACGGGTCTGTTTCTTGCCCAAATATTGTCAAGTAAACCATTTCTTATGGGACTGAGACTGACTCCTGAGGAAAGTCCCAGGTGTCTGGGGCTCACCCTGGTCTGCTGCGCCCCCCCATGTAGTGAAGTACGTTAAATGAGGCATACGAGCCTTTAATGCAGTGCCTGAACACAGCTGGTACTCAAGTGTTAGCCATTGTTATTGTTAGTAATCACGGGGCCACTCTCCTCATCTTGTCTGCTTCTCCTAGAAGGAAGATGGCCTTCTGCCCAAACCCCCCTCCTCTGGGGGAGAAGAGGAGGAGAAAGCCCGGGGCGAGGCATCGGAGGACCTCTGTGAGATGGCCCTCGACCCAGAACTGCTGCTCCTGCGGGATGACGGGGAGGAGGAGTTCGGTACGTGCGGCTTCTGGCTCTCGGGCTGCAGCTCTGCCGTTCTGACTGTGGGGCCAGTTTGGGCCTGTGTGGTCTCTGCTCCAAGCTCATCTCAGGCCTTCTGTAGCAGGAACCAAGCTGGAGGATTCCGAAGTCCGGTCGGTTGCCTCAAACCAGTCAGAAATGGAGTTCTCTTCCCTTCAGGACATGGTGAGGCCTCTTCCGTGCCCCCCACCCCCACCCCGGGCCTCAGCAGCAGGGGGCTTAGCAGGCCTCTGGCTCACTGCTGGCGGAGGGACGCTTTTACCAAATGACTTCTGGCATCTTGATTGACAGAAGACAAAACGTGGTTCTTGGCTCCTGGGTGGCACGTTTGGAGAACACTTCAGTGTCTCCATCAGGGCGATCTGAGTGTGGTGTCTGACCTCGGAGCACACACACTCCCTCTGTGTGTGACAGCCCCTGGGGTCAAGGTGCCCCAGGGGGGCCTTTGGTTATGGGCCCGGAGGCCTGCCTGGCCCAGGGTCAGGGCGGGGTCGCCCAAGCTGCTTGATTTTAAGAGGGCTTCATCCTGGGTGGGCGTAGTCATTAAGAGAACTGTTTGTAAGTCCTGCTCATCTTTGTTTCTCTTGTAGCCCAAGGAGCTGGACCCCTCCGCCGTGCTCCCTCTGGACTGCCTTCTTGCTTTTGTCTTCTTTGATGCCAACTGGTGTGGCTACTTGCACCGGCGAGACTTGGAGAGGATCCTGCTTACCCTTGGGCTGCGGCTCAGCGCGGAGCAGGTGCTTTGCTGTGCCCCCAGTCCTCTCTCAGATGCCTCCTGATGTCTGTGTGCGCAGGCGCGGCTCGGGATGCTGTGCTTCTAGGTTCTTGCATGTCATGTGGGGAGCTCATCCATCCTCATCTGTGGGCATCCTGGGTGTGTTTCCTGCAGGCCAAGCAGCTGGTCAGCAGGGTGGTGACCCAGAACATCTGCCAGTACCGGAGCCTGCAGTACAGCCGCCCGGAGGGCCCGGACGGAGGGCTCCCCGAGGAGGCGCTCTTCGGTGCGTACCACACTCGGCAGTCTTCTGGGGACCGCAGGGCAGGCCGCTTTCTCCAGGGACCCTTTACCTGAGTGTTTTCATGGCCCTTCCAGGAAACCTGGACTTGCTACCTCCTCTCGGGAAGAGCACAAAGCTGGCTGCTGCCCCTGTGGAGCACCAGGGCCTGGTGTCCCACAACGGCAGCCTCATCGACGTGGGGAACCTGCTGCAGCGCGCGGAGCAGCAGGACAGCGGGCGGCTCTACCTGGAGAACAAGATCCACACGCTGGAACTGAAGCTGGGTGAGCGGCCCGTGGTGCAGGCACCTGCTGCGGCTGAGCCGCGCCGCCCCTTGGGCTTCAGTCCTTGCCTCAGGCTCCCACCCCCAGCTTAGGGCAGTCTTTCCCGTCTTCCCCCACCAGAGGAGAGCCATAACCGTTTCTCAGCCACTGAAGTAACGAATAAGACACTGGCAGCAGAAATGCAGGAGCTGCGAACCCGGCTGGCAGAGGCCGAGGAGACGGCCCGGACAGCGGAGCGACAGAAGAACCAGCTTCAGCGGCTGCTGCAGGAGTTCCGAAGGCGCCTGACCCCCCTGCAGCTTGAGGTGCAGCGGATGGTTGAAAAGGTGAGCCCCTCGGGAGAGCCGGGTCGTGCTGGGAGGCTGAGTCGGGACTGCCAGCACGGCTGCCCCCTCTGGCCTTGCCCGGGTTCATCTCGCCTTCCTCTTCGCTCCCATCTGCTAAGTTTCTTGTGGAATCGACCTGTCAGCAGCCTGCAAACTGGAGTCTCCCAGACGGGAGTGGCTGGTAATCCTCGGATGGTGGCCCTTCCTCCCGAGTCCTGATTCCTGTTACATCTGTTTCAAACAGGCGGACAGCTGGGTAGAGAAGGAGGAGCCAGCACCTAGCAACTGAGGGGCCTGGTGCAGGAGCTGCCGTCCTGTGAGGTCAGCGATGGAGCCTGCTGAACTTAGAGCCCTGGTGGTTCCAGAAGGGAGCTGGAGCAGGACCTGGGAGCCATAGGCAGGGGTGGCTGACCCCTGTGCTCGGCCTCTGTGGAGGAGCTCAGGCCACCAGGGTGGGGGTCTGTCTGTGCCGTGTGGGACGGATGTGTGAGGAAGCCGGTTCCACTTGCAACTAAATCCAACATCTTCTGCACCCCTCGAATGTCATTTTGCTCCTACCTGGGGATTCCTCCTGGGGCCCTTTCGTCTTGTGCTGACTTTCTCCTGTCCTCTTCCAGTTTAGACTAAGACAGGGGAGGAAAAGGCTTTTCAAGTCTGTCGTAGGTCTGATGCCAATAAACGGAAGAAACAGGTGTGGAAGCTGGCTGGGGGCAGGAGCCCCTTCCTCGGGATGGCACAAACTCCGCCGGGTTACAGGAGCAGGTTCTGGGGGAGGGTCCCCTTGGCCCTTATGGGAACAGAGTCAGCGCCGGCGAGCGCTTGTGTTGGGCTGTGTTTGCCCGTGAACACCGTGTTCCAGCACCCCAGACTTGCCAGAAGAAACCAGCACCTCCTTCCCTGGCTCCCCGTGTTCAGAATGTGGTATTGGCTCTGGCCCAGCCTTCTTCCCTGTTCCCTATAAGTCTCACCTCTTTCCATAATCCGTGTTTCAGTTTGACTTTGTATATAAAGTTGTTTTTTTTTTTTTTTGGCTTTTTGTTTTTTAAATAAACCAAAGTCAAAAACAAACCAAGTGTCCTCTGTAGCTCTCCCTTGCTCCTCTTCTAGGTCTGCCTGTGCTGCCCCTACTCCTCCCGGCCCTCAGCCCAGCCTCTGCTGGACTGAGGTGTCACCTCCAGAGGGTGGGGGGCAGCTCTGGGCTCCGCTGCCTGCTGGTCAGGAGAGGGGGGTGCTGTGGGATCTTGCCAGCTCAGCAGGGGACAGCCAAACCCTGAAAAAGACCCAGGGCGGCTCTTCCCCCTCTCCTTAGTTACAGCACAATAATACATGGAAATTTTATTGAAAACTCTCAACTTGGAAAAATAAAATTCCAAATATTCAGGTGAGACACAAACCCACTGTTCTTGCTCTGAGGCCTGTGACATTTTGTGTGATGATAGGATATTTACATGCGTTCTAGTCCCAGTTTCCTAGGGAATTTCTAAGACTGGGGGCTCTGCCCTGCAGTCGACCCAAATGAGGACCGCAGCTCTCATGTTCCCCAGGGCAGGGTCTCGGTTCTCTCCCAGAAAAGGTGAGCCTGAGGGGGAAAGGCAACAAGACCGGTGACTCCCCAAGGTGGCTCTTGGAGGTAGATGTGAGCCCAACCGTGCAGGCCAGGCTAAGACCTCAAGGGAGCGACAAAGCCCACGCTCTGGCCTTTGGACGGTTCTTTAGGAACTAAGCCAGCCCTGGGTTTTCTACACTGCTCACCTGTCTGCGGGCTCTTGCTACGGGTGGGGAGACGGCAGCCTGCCTGGGGCTCCCGGTGCCAGGCTCATCCCCAAGGGCTGGGGAGGCGGAGCAGGAGCCGCCGCGATCCCCACAGTTCTCCCAGGGAAGGGCCCTTTGCTGGCTGATGTCAGAGCCTAACTTGGAAAGGGCAAAGACTAGAGAGGCTGACTTGTGTTCCAGGAGTCTGAGGGGGCTGGCTCAGTCATCGGCCACGATAGAGAGGGCTCTGAGCTCACTCAGCCTGGCCTCGTTCTCCCGCTCCCGCTGCTCGTCAGGGTGTCCAGGCTGGTCAAGCTGCTGGGTCAGGTCCCCGAAGATCTGATGCATTTCTGAGTAGTACACGACCTGGGGTGGGAGGCAGGAGGAGGTCGGCAGGGGCTGGGCTCCGGGGTACCACGCCCCCACTGCACTGCACCCTCTGGACACAGCAGGGCAAGTGGGGCCAGAAAACCAGAGTCCTTGGGCCACACCCACTGCTGTTCCCTCCAGCAGAGCACAGGGCTGAGCGAAGGGGCTGGATTCCATTTTCCCCTCCACCACCGCCCTTTCCCTCAGCCCATCTCCCTGAACTGCACAGGCAACTGGAGCCCCAAGCCCTTCAGGAACATTCGCTGCCCACTGCCTGGGTGGCAGTACGTCAAAGGTGAGGGAAGCAGCAGGCACTCGGTGAGGTGGAAGTGGGGGCTCTGTCCTCTGAGCACTGAAGGGGAAGGGCTGGGGTGGGGGGTGGACCGCAGGCAGGTCCTCGGGAGGCTAGGCAGTCCGGCACTGTGACCAGGGGACTAGCTGCTTTATCGAAGCTGGGAGTTTTGTCTCTGGGAGAGAAGGCACGGCAGGCCCCCAGAGCCCTGAGAGGCAGTCTCAGAAGTAAGGATGAGAGAGGTGACACTGTCCCAACCTCTGTCCCTTCTCAACTTGCCCCACCGTTAACCATTGCCCAAGCTGCAGAACCAGGAAAGCCAGGCCCAGGGGCCAGGCTCATTTCCACGTTTGCTTCTGCGCAGGCACCAGAGGTGGGCTGGGAGAGGCCCACAGGCCCGAGGCGGGGGTGGGCCGAGGCATGGGGGTCCCCTCAGTGGCTCTCAGGTGGCTGAGGGCTGAGCTGGCCCAGGGCAGGGATTGGCCAGGGGAAGAGAACAGGGACCATTTCTGCCTCAGTCCCACCTCATGACCAAATGAAAGTGTGTACTTTCAAGAAGGTGTTCGACATTACTCAAACACCCCTAAACGTTACCAGCTCCAGGTTGTCTTTGGGGAGAAGGAACTCGACTTCTCTAGAAACTTGCAGTGCTGTTACTGGCAAGGCAGGGCCACGTCTTCCACACTCCCATGGCTAGCTTTTCACTGGGGGGGGGACTAAATCAAGGCCTCCAAATACCGTTGTCACCTTAGGGGACGGGGCCTGGGCTAGTGCAGAGGGAGGGAGGGGGAGGGTGCACCCTCCCCCGCCCCCCCTGCCCTGGAACCAGAGCCGCACTGCGCAGGCTGAGTCACTGGGAATGCTCACTTCTCCAGTGACTAATGGCAGCAGCAGCCGCAGGAGGGGGAGGCTAGCGCTGACGAGGCAGTAAACAACCCCCCGCCACCCCGCTGCCTGGTTACAGGGCATCCCTAGCGCCCAACCTGGGCGCCCAGCAGCTTCCTCCTGTGAGCAACAGATGGAGGGGGCAGGGCAGCATGCAGGGGACTTGGAGCAGCGGCGGCACAGGTCTCCTTAAATACATGTCTCCCGGGCCGGGCGAAGCTGCTGGAAGGAAGCCTGCACCTCCAGGGGCAGCGCCCTGGGGACAAGTGTGGGGATATCCAACTCCCCTACACACTTAGCTCTCTGCCTCACTCTCCCTGAGCCACCGAGGACATGGTCACTAACAAGTCCCAGCTCCAGCAGCAATCTTGCTCAGGGTTCCTGATCCCAAGTGTGCGGCCCCATGGGTATGGGTATTCAAAGATGCAGGCTGGGAGGCAGGAATCAGGCTTTTCCTGGGTGTCTGCAATGGTGAATTCGGCAAGAATGACAGTGTCCACTGGAGGGCGCCAGAAACCCAGGCCAAGCGCAGAGGTGGGCTGGAGGCAGACAGGGACATGTTGAGCCTTTAGCTTTGTTACCTGGTGGAGAAGGTGGCAGGATGCCGAGCACCTGCTGCCACTTGGGAGGGAGGGGGCACAAGGAGGAGACCTCTTGGCTTTGGCACCTCAACCTTTTCTACAAACGGGGAGAATAGTCCCTACTGATGGCTTGAAAAATGTTGGAGAGCTGGGGGAGGAGGGCAGGAGTGACACCTGATCGCACACTCTGTCCTTACACCCTTGAGTAGCAGGAGACACAGGTCGCAGCCTCAGTGCTACCACGGTGTGCCTCCACCCACGCCCGCCCCAGCCAGCCTGCCTTTCTACTGGAAGGTGCATCACAGCCTGGTGCCAGGGTGGGGGCGGGGGGGGGTGCAGAGTATGGCTCTCTCCAGGATTTAGGGACGTGCTCCAAGGGACCCCCTGGTCTTCTGCCAAATGAAAAGGGCTGACTAGGGAAGGCAGGGGGGTGAGGGTCCTCAGAAAAGGGCCGTCACCCTGTAGGCCCTTGTTCCTGACCTGAGCACCCAGGTGGGAACCTGCCCATCAAGGTGAGGTGCTGAAGGTGTGGCCTGGTTTCTTCTCACTGCTGGTGGTAGAGCATGAGGAGAGAACTTGAGGGAACTGCTGGACAACAAGGAACTTCATCTTAAGGCTGTGATTAACCAGAGTAACGTGGGAACCAAAACAGGAATCCCAGCGAACAAACATAGGGGCCCTGGAGCCCTCCCTCAGGGGCAGTGCTGGGGGCAGTGACCCTCTTTGCAGAGATCGGCTAAGCCACATCTCCTGTGTGGGGACTGGGGCTGGGCTGGCATAAGACGGGTCTCCAAAGCCCTCGATTGCGTCCCAAGGGAAGAAAGGTTGGGCCATCACTCAGGGCAGGGTGGGAGCGGCCTCACCTGTGCTCGGATCAGGGACTCGAAGCTGGGCTGGAAGTAGTCCAGTCGGCTGTTGTAGAACCGTGGCATCTCATCCAGGAGCTGCTTGTTCTTGGCCTCGAAGTCGTCCCGCACGGGCCGAAGCTCTTCACGGGCCTGGGGAACAAGACCCTGGGTGTCACAGCTCTCAGCATCCCAGCTGTGGCATGATGTGTATGTGCATGGGACCCACATGGCCCGCTGTCCCCCGCCAAGCCCCTTCTCCCTGGTACCTGGTGGAGTTTGGCCAGCACCGGCCCCGTCTTCTCCTTCTCCTCGTACTTCTCCACCTTGGCCTGCAGCCTCCTGTAGTCCTGCAGGGCCTGCTCCCGCCGTTTCACCGCCATGTTGAGGCTCGGGAAGACACTGCCAAACCTGTTGGACACAGTGGGTTGGAGACAGGCCTGTTCTTGGAGATGCAAACTGGCAGCTCATTGCTCATTTAAAAATACATATTGATCAAGAACGGTATTTAAAAAATACATAGTGCACACCTACCAAATGCCAGACCCTGCCCCGGTCTTGGGGATTTCGCTGCGAACAGGACAGATGAGACCCTGGCCCCCGTGGGGTGCATGCTGACAATGTCACCTTGGGGTAAGGCCACGGGAAGGAAGACAGGGCCTAAGGGCCACTCCACTGACCTAAGACTCAGCAGGTCATGAATGCACAATGCCACTGCCCCTTAGCCCCACCTCACCTGACCCCGCCCCTCACTACAGAGACCTGTAATACAGCAGGGCAGAGCTGAAGACTCCTAGGAGTGGTTTTTTTTTTGACTTGGTACAAAGTAATTCCGCTTTTATTAATTACCATCATGTATCTTAGAAGAAACAAAAGACAGAAGAGCCACTAGAGCCAGGAGAGCTCCCTGGACAATCACAAAGCAACAGGGGTGGGCAGGGTTCGGGAAGCCATTTGCGCAGAGGCAGCATCCCCTAGGGTGGGGGGGGAGGCGGGACCCAGGGCTGCTCCAGGAGCTGGGCCAAGGGCAGCCACTCCGAAGGCTGGTGTCTGAGAAGCTTGGAGATCAAGCTTCTGTCCAACGTCTTCCTTTGAAAAAGTGAAAGAAACTGAAGCCAGGGAGATGACTTGTCTTAAGGTCACAATTAGGTAGTGACAGCCCGGCAGAGAACTCAAGTGTCCCAGCTCTGTGTCTGGCACCTCCCAACCAACTCATGCTGCCACCAGCAGGTGACAGACCTGCCACTGAGACCTACTCCTGGCTCTGCAGCAAGAGCAGGAATCCTCATGTTCCGCACTTGAAATGGCCAAACCATCAAACCAAAGTTTTGAGAAAAATAACCCCTGGGAGTTCTTCCTGCCCCACCAGGACAGAAAGAACCCTAGGGGAACGCTCAGAGCAGCCCTTCAGAAAGAGGCACCAGATCCGTGGGCATGGCTAGCCTCCGTGGGCACAGTCTTTGTGACAAGTGTCCTCCTTGGGAGGGGCAGCGCGACCTGAGGGAGACCCAGGCAGGGATGCTGCCTCTCCTTGGCTGCTGAGTGTGGGAGGAGGCCGGGCCAACCGGCAGGCAGGTTCTCTGGAACCGGACAGAAGAGGGGGAAGCTTACGCAAATGCAAAGCCCGAGGGCAGGAGCATCTGACTTGCAGCTGGGAGCCCAAGTGGCCGGTGGAGATCCGGCCAGGCCACCGAGATGACAACGGCGCAGCGGTTATTCGGGGTTGGAGGGGTGAGAAGCACGAAGTGGGCGTCCCAGGACCAGGAGCAGAGTTGGTTCCTTCCGGAGCAACCCAGAGGAGATGAAAGACGGGGCAGGACTGAGGGTGAGGGCGGGGCTCGCCTCACTGGGGCCTCAGGTGGTTGCTGATTTCAGCCTTCACAGCACCCAGAGCCTGGCGTGTATCTCCGGGCTCCCAGTCATCCTGAGGTAGCTCAGGTACCACGTGAAGAATGACTTCCCAAGTCTGCCTCTCAAAGGAACATGACCATGATTTTGGCTTTGAAAAAGCCTCAAGGAATCAAGAGTCCACGTGACAAGAGTAATGAATACTTCTGCCAGAGAACAGAGAATATAAACGTAACTAAAGCATGATGCCCCAAACAAAGCTAGAGACCCAGACAGTAGATTCTGATTAAACAAATAAAGACCATTAAAGAGGATTCTTCGAACTTACTGGGTGCCTGTAATGGACTCACTGCGTAGCCCGCAGTGCTCACATGGGCCAGACCACCCAAGCACCTCTGAATCCTCAGTCCTAGGCCCCACACATAGTAATCCAGTCCACACCTGAATGACTGATCTGCCAGGCAGGAGATGTGGGCCTCCCTGGTGCTGTGCAAACTGGACCAGGCACCTCTAGGACCAACGGTCCCCCTGGGGCAGCTCTGAACACGACGAGGGCAGCTGAGACCATATGGAGGAGCTAGACTCACTTCACTGCTTTTGCCTCAGGCACTGGGGTCTCAGCTGCCTGGTGAGGCCCTCTCCCTTCCATCTGAGAGGCTCATGGTTCAAGGGAACAGGTGGCAGTTGGGCCTGAGAAGTCACCAGGCCACCTCTCCCTCTACCCCAACTGGACAACGGCCACCAGCAGACACCGTGATTCTCTCGTCAACCCCTGCTTGGGCTGGTCCCAGGGCTGGGGCCTCTGTCCCACCTTGCCAGCTGCCCAGGAGGTGCTGGGTGGGGGCGGGCACAGTGACAGGACAAGGACCAGAGGCAGGCAGGGGGCTGCAGGTGGAGAGTTTCCTTAATTTGCCACTGGGCCATCACCTCAGCTCACATCCTCAGGACGGAGGGCGCCACAACGAAGGACGCAATGGGCGCGGGGTGTTCCACGGCTCAGGACAGGCCACCACGCGGGCGGTCACGCCGCTCCTGCGCCTCTGACCCCGGCTGCACTTCTGCCTGTGCTCGTCCTCCGAGCCTTCTTCCCTCGGCTGCTGACTAGGGTGTATTTCCAGGGCAGGGTCGGACACACCGACCTGGATCGGCCTACAAAGGAAGTAGAAATCCAACCCCAGGGCTGGGGAAAGGCACGGACGGACCCAGGGCTGAAAGATTTCCAGGCAACCTCAGGGGATGGGCGTGTCTGCAGGACACTACCTTCAGCCTTCTGGAAGCAAGGCTACCTGTCCTCTGTGGGGAGGAAGTGGCTGCAGCGGGAACTGGTCCCAGCTGTTCTGTGAGAGCCTCCAGGAAAATCACTTCTTCCCGCCTCCCACAGTAGTGCCCCTCAGCCAAACCCAGAGGCCGCGGAGGGCCCAGCTCGCTCAGCTCACTGTTGGTGGATCAAGAGTCACTCACTGCCTGGGTAGCTCTGGGCCTGGGCTTCGGGACCCCCTGGGGCGGGGCAGGTGTCTCGCCCTTTTCACAGAGCAGCAGGGAAACTAAGGCCGGGCAGGCGAGATCAGTGTGACCCCAGGTGGCAGATGAGAGAGTGGGGGGACCGGGACTCTGGAATCCCCGGCTTGGGTCACTGCCCCACTGAGGCTGCTCCCCTGCCTAACTTTCTACTTAGAACAGAAAGAACTCTGCCAGCTTCACGTGTGTCGGGGACTATAAACACCACGGTGCTGTTCGGGGAGAGGAGCCCCCCTAACCTGCGTGCGGAGCACTTTGGTGCCTCCTCTACCTTCACATCAGGGCAGGGACGCTGCAGGGAGGTGAGGACAAGCAGGCTGGTCTCTGGCGCCCAGGCCCCTCCCAGACACACCTCTGGGACCCTACTGGGTACCTGCTGACTTCACCTGATGAGCATGGGGGGGACCTGGCTCTGTCTGGGGCACCAAGTCTGCACTCTAACTGGGCTGCCATGAAGAAACAAGGCTAGGGGTGCAGAGCCTCCCTGCTCTGCCTGGCGTGCCCCCGATAATCAGCACGGAAGTCCCTGGGCCAGGGACTCTGCCCTCCACACATGGCGCTTCTTCAGGCCACGACCCGCCTAAGCGCTGGCTCTGCCACTTGGAGAGCTCAGCTCCACTTCCCCTTCCACAGATGGGGAAAGGGCCTTGGAGGGAAGGTGCAGGACTGGCCCCTCCACTGTACGGCTCTCCCCTTGCCCATCTTCTGGAGAACATGGTCATGGCTTCCACACTGCATCCTGAGCAACTAAAGTCAGAATCACATCTGTCCTCAAAGAAGGGAGGACAGTGCTGGGCCCACCCCAGGTGCTCACTGAAGCCCTGCCCGTTTCTTGCCCATCCTAAGGTTCGCCAGCAAATGCCTCCCCTGGGTGAGCATGGGGTGAAGAGGCAGTGACAGGGGTGGAGGGAAAGAGTGAGGGAGAGAGGACGGCTGGGAGGTGGGCTGGGAGCAGCCGGCCCTGGTGGGGAATGCCTGCCATTCCTCAATCTGTGCCCACACAGCCGGGATCTTCCACCCACCAGGAAAGGGAAATTGAAAGCATCCCCATCCGACCATGTGAACACGGCCCAGAGACTGGGGGATTAGAGGCCGAGCCCCCTGGGGGGAGGCTGGGGGCGGCAGGGTGGCCATGTGGTGATGTTCCTCATCAGAGGACAGGAAAGCTGCAGTTTCCTGTTTCCGGTGCTGGGGTCCCTGGGAGCTTCTCTTCTGGCAAGAGGCAGCAGCAGGCAGTGCCGGTTTTATGTGGTTGGGGGAGATCGCATGTCGGCTACGGGATGCAGGGAAGCCAGCCGGGTAGGCCAGCAGGCCCGGGGGGCTCATGCAGAGGTCAGCGGATCTGCTGCGGAGATGGTGCCCGCCCCCTCGGCCACTCACCCACCTTCCTGGCAGGTGGTGGGCTGCTGGGGTGGCGGGAAGCAGCCGGGATTTCTCTCCATCTGGCTCCAGAAGCCAGGCATCAGATTTCAAGGCCGCCTCGTTGGTTGTGAAATCTAGACAGGAGTTGGTCCCCCATTTCTCCGGGCTGGTGTTCCCTGCCTAGCTCTGCCAGCTGTGGGTGTCCACGACAGCCTCCGTGGCAGTCCCTGGGACCCCCATAGGCAGGGTCTGCTCTCCCCCAGGTCCTTCCCACCCAGCTCCAAATCCTGGGGCCTGGAGATCGGGTCAGAAGGCCACAAACTATGGAGTTCCTTCTGATGCCTCCCTCCTGAGCTCCTGGCCTCCTCAGCACCCAGCTCCTCATGACCCTGTCATCTGGGGCTGGGGGCCCAGGGCAGGAACAGGGCAGTGGGGAGAAATCCCTTCGGGCCAGGTTCAGCTTCCCCACCACGGCTGGGCCCCCAGACAGCCTGGCTTAGAAAGAGCTTTCCCTAAGCCACCCCTCAGACCTGGGCAGGGAACAAGAGCTCAACAACCTCAACACCAGGGGCCGGAGGATCTAAACCTGCTCTCCCCATCTCCCTCCGGGCCCCGATCCAGGCCTAATGTAATTAGCAGAGCCTCATTACCCAGGCCCTGGTGAGGCAACTGCCAGGGACCACCACAGAAGAGGTAATAACGTGCAGCTGCCGGGCTGGAGCGGGAGCCTTTCTAGGTCAGAGCCGAGCTGGGAGAGGCCAGGGAGGAAGATGAAGTGATTCGGGAGCTTCAAGGCAATGTTCCTGCCTGGCGGCCCCCCCAGCCCCCCCTTAAGGGACCTGGGGAATAGGCCCGTCTGATCACTGACCAGAGCCTGCTGGACAGAAGACGAGTCTCACAGAAGAATTTCTGACCCTGGCAGGTCATGAGTTAGGGGACCTTCGCAGGCGGGACCCCACGGCTGCGCCCTTCCCGGTGTGCGGCCGCCCCCACGTTTCAAAAGCCGAGCGCTGCAGGCAGCTGCTCTCCCAACCCGGCTACGCGAGATGAAAGGCCTCGCTCAGCTCCGCTGAGGGCTGGCCAAGATCTCTGCTAGCTTAATTCCGCCCGCTCTGGTCCCACCGGTCCTCAGTCAGGGACAAAAGGACAATGGCGGAATGACCACGGGAGCCCCGGCCGGCCGCTGTGGAGGGCCAGACGGGCCCTGCCATCACGCAGGCAAGGCGGGTGTGCTCAGGAGCCACCAGGATTATCAGGCCCAGGGCCACAGATCAGGTGGCGGGCGTCCCCGGAGTCTCCCGTCTGCCCCGTGAGAGCCTAGGGGTAGGCTGCTAGAAATGGTATTTGGTCCCCAAGTGGCTGGTTGACTGGCCTTTCCAGTAAGTCCCCTGAGGCCCGTGGTCCCCCAGGCCCCCCGATGACCTTTACTTACTTTTTTAAGGGCTCAATCACAGTCTTCTGTATCTGGTTCACCTGTCAAAAGAAAAATCCAATGACATCAAAACTGAGGGGAAGTCGGGCTCTTCCCAGAAAGGGAGGCTCCAAGTTCCTAGAAGAGAAAGGGGACCTGACAGGGGAACCCTGAGAGCCTCGGGCTGGGAGAAGACTGGAGCACCCACAACTGCCACTGGAGAGAGGCGGAGATGATGACTGGGAAGTCTGGAGGACAACAAGGGACACTGTCCTTGTCCTGGGTCAGTTCTTATCCTGCCACCACTGTCTGCCGAGGCTGATGACATCCTCGCTCAGGGTGGAGGCTGCGTGAGCAACCACAGACAGTCCGCAGGGCTGCAGGTGGGCAGAGACAACCTGCGTCTCCCTTGTGGCCTCGCAGGGAGCAATGTGAGCTCGTGGGAGCCAGGGAAGCACTCGGGGCTGGGGCAGGCTGGCCAGGAAAGAGCTCACTGGGCTGAGGGCGCCCAGAGGAGACTGAGCCCCAGTAAGGACTCCACATGGTGCTCCACCTGGACAGAAGCCTCGAGAAGAGGGAGACCAAGACCCCAGTCACCTTTTCCTGGTTGAAGGCGTCCATCCGCTTCATGGCCGTGTCCAGGGCTGTCACCATGTTCAGAAAGTCCTGGTCTTGCTCGCAGAGGGGATTGGAGAGCAAGTCCAAGGATATCTTCACAGCGGATTTGGACATAGCTGTAAGAAGTCAAAGCTCAGTGAACCAATGATGGGATAGGCTTCCAGGTCTTGTCCTCAGGACTCCCTGTCCTCCCTCGGGCCAGCAACCTGCCCTGGGATGACCTTTACCCACGGCCACAGGCCACAGAAACTGCACAGTACCACAGAGCCACGAGACACCGTCTTTAATGCATAGAGGGCATTCCTGACACTGCTAATGTCCATCTAATGCTGCTCTGGGTAATTCTTTTGAGCAGATTTACCTTTTGCAATGACTGTATTTTCAAAACTCTGGATTATACACAGAATCATATGGGTGGGAAGCTGTAAGAAATACTTATTTCTAGCCCCCATTATTTATTTCAGTAAGTCTGGAATCCAGGAATATGCATTAAAAAAAAATCTCCAAGGAGTTTGGACTTGAAGCTTCGTTTGGGACTCCCTCACAGACAAGAGTTTCATAGCATCTCCACCAAGGAGGCAAACTTCCTGCACAGGGCTAGGGGCAAGGTTTTAGGCTTTGTGGGCCGAGATGGTTTCTGTTGCAACAACTCATCTGCCACAGATGGGACCTATAGAATGCATGTGGCTGTGTTCCAATAAAACTTTATTGACAGAACTAGCCCAGATTTGGGAAGGTAAGGTGATGTGTTGGCAGCTTTGGAGTTCTTGGTCCTGTGGAAGTTTTCAGGTCTCCATTACTGGCAAACAAAAATCCTAGAATCCAGGAAGAGGCTGCAGAAGGGTCATGCTTGCTCCCCAGTCTCAGAGTCTCAGGGGAAAACAAGTTTTTGAATGCATTTCCTATTATTTTATGTCACTAAATTTAAGATGCTATCAATTAGCAAGACACATCATTATTGCACAAACCATTAAAAGAGAAAAAAATGCTGCCAATTAAACCAGAACACACTATTCAGTGCTATGGTACCTTGATTTCTCTTGAATCTGGGAGTGCGCTGCAGTTACCTGGCAAAAGGGCAAAATAACAGAAAAGACTGGAAATGAGAACTTCCCAGTGATGGGGTGAAGCAGTGGAGGGAAAAAACCCTCTTCAAAATCTGTGAAGTGACTTTGTAGGCTCAGGAGCAAACTCACGTGTCACTTGAATGGATTATGAAACGGTCACAGACAGCATAATTATAAGATAAAAAACCTGGATAAAACAAAACATCTTGGAAAAAAGTTCCTCCACTAATTTTTTAATAGTTGAGGAAATAACCCCCCAAAATCTGGGGTTTGGAGGAACGACTTTCCTCCCAATTTTCCTTTTCTTTCCTAAAGATTTCACATCTTCTGCTGTTGTCTCTTTGCTACAACCATCTGAGGTCAATTAACGGTGCGTGTCTGTAAGGGGAGCACTGTGCCTGGAACCCCCATCCCGAACCTATGTGAACAGACCAGGGCGCCGTGGCTTCCATTCTCCTCTGGACCAGCTCACATTCCTCATCCTGCTTCTGCAGGGACACAGGAGGGGCGTGGTCAGCCCAGCACAAACCAGGAGACTGGTGGGCTCCCAACCTCAGGGAGCACAAGGGTCTCGGACCCCACGTGGGCCTCTGGAGCCCTAATGTAACCTCAGAGTGCAGGGGTCAACAAGGACCCGGCAGAGACTGGTCACGCCCAAGTGATCTTGTTCTGGACCCATAGCTTTGGCTCTGAGATCCTGTCCAGGCAGCAGCTCAGGAGTTTCCAGGACCAGGAAGGGTGTAATGTGACTCCCCTCAACTGTGTGGAGCAGTGGTTCTCAAAGTGGGGTTCCCAGAACAGTACTGCCTGGGAACTTTTTTGGGCCTTACCCAGACGTGATGAATCAGAAAGTCTGGGAGTGTGCTGGACGATCCACTCGGCAGTGAGCCCTCCAGTGACTGACGCACCAGAGCACAGGGCTTTCTGGCCCGGACTGTGGGGCCTGGGCCTTGCAATGACCTGGGGTACCACTGTTTCCAGAGGCCTTTCTCTGACCAGACTCCCCTTCTGACTTGGGACAGAAGCCAGGAATCCTAGGCTCCAGGAGTCCCTGTTTATCCCAATTTCTTTGTTAAAAACTTGCACTCTCTACAGCCAGACTCTACTGCATGGCTCCCTGACAGTCTGGCCCTTCCTGTCATGCTCGGAGAGTAGTTGTGTGGAGCAGCAGGGAGAGAAGGAAGCACAGGCCACAGCAGCTCCTTACTGGAAAGGCAGCGGGAGCCACAGAGAAAGGAGGAACCTGTGAAACTCAGAACTAACCACAACACAAGTAATGGACAGACTCAACATCAGACCGGTGGCTTGCTGCACACACCGTGTGGAGAGGCCAGGGGCCAGGAGCAGGTCACGTCCAGGCCCGCCCCATCCTCGGGACGAGCAGCGGCAGGAGGCGCTGTGGCAAAGACCACGGGAGCTGCCCTCCACGCGCCGCTGGTGGCTGACGCTGCTCCAGGGAAAGTGGTGAGTGGTACCTGCCAGCTGAGAAGTAACCTCAAGCCACTTCTCTGGGACATCTGTGGGGCATCTGCTAAGTGCACTTACTTCAAAGCCAGCCCCAAAGGGACTGAGTGGGGAGGATGTCCCCCTCTGCCCCACCCCCATGCAGACTGGGCGTGGGGGACGGGCCACCTACCCAGGTCGGCGTCCGTGCTCTTCTTCATGTCCTTCTGCAGCCTCTTGGTCTGCTCCTCCAGCCTGCAAGGCAGGGGGATGGACCTGGGGACCTGGCATTGCCCACCTGCTTCTGCCTCATTCTGTCCGTCCACCTGAGATCAGCCCGACCTGACATTCTGGGTCGCCTGCCAGGAGGAGGAGCCCTGCTCTGCAGGGACGTTCTCCCTGACTGAAGGACCACTATGAGCTTGGCAAGTGGCCACGCACCCAAAGGCTATGAGTTAACAACTGTCACGCAGCTGCCACTCAGGGGAGAATTTCTGGCAGGTGGTGAACTGAGCTGCCCTCGGCTCCCAGGTGCTAACGGGGCAGATGAGCAGCCCATGAACGGGCGGCGGAGCGGACCAGGCAGAGTGGGCAGAGGGCTCTTTTCCTCTCCAAGCAGCAACCTTCTCTCTAAACCCCTCCCCCACCCGGCCCGCCCTCCCTTCTGGGCTTTGACACTCACTGCTGGAGTTTCCCATACTCCCTCTCAAAGTCTCTCTCCACCTGTGAGGAAGGAGATAACTCAGTCAGTGGAGGAATGACAGCACGCTGGAAAAAATCTGCCAGCCTGTGAAACGTCCTCCACGCCCTCCCCCTCTCCCCCCGTCTGCAGAGAGCACCACCACCCAGCTCCTACAAGCACCAGCACATCGCCAATGACACAGGAGCCCAGTGTTCCCAAATTAATTGTGTTTGATTTAGGGCGCGAGACTCCCCTCCTAGACGGGCCAGCCAGGCAGGTACCAGCGGATCGCAGCTCTGTTCTTCCACTGCGGGGAGTGGAGTGGGGGGCTGGGCTGCGCTCGCTCCTCCCCACCTCCTCCGGTGGCAGGTGAGGTGCTCACAGTGTGACTGAAGCTCCGGTGGGTGGGCAGGGGGTCTGCTCCTGTCCCTGCCTCTGTGCTGCTCTGAGGTGGGGAGGCATCTGCCCTCCTGGCCTTGGTTTCCTACAGGTCCCCGCCTGCTAGGTTCAGGGTGGCTCCAGAAAGACCAGGCAGCCACGCTCCGTGCACTGGGAGGTACCAATCACAAACACCATTACTACTGACTCAGGCAAGGCGCTCCACACTCTGGGTTAGTTATCACATTCCCCAAGTATTTAAACCAAGTGGGTATGAACCTTGAACCCAATTCTACTGCCTCCACATCAGTCAGGTGAAGCTGGGAAAGTCACATGCACTTCCAGGCCTGAATCCCCCCATCTGTAAAACGGGGCTGGCAGCGGTCTCTCAGGAGAGGGGTGTGTGGGGTCCTGACGTCTGAGAGCTGTTAGGAGGGACCGAGCCCCAGCCTCTCCTCCTTCTGGCTCCCCCTGTGGCTTCTCGAGGCAAAGCCAGCTCACAGTCACAGAATGCTCACCAGGCTCCCACCACTGGCTCCTCCTCCACCACTCACCAGGCAGACAGGTGTGCTGAGGGCCCTCACTGCACTGAGGTCACTGGGACAGAGTGGGGTCGCCTGCTTGAGGTCACACCGCTAGTGAGCGGCAGGACTGGGGTTCAAACATGGGCCAGGCGGCCTGGCTCCCAGGCCTGTGCCCTTCACCATCATTCTCCCAAAGGGGGAAAAGCACTGGCTGATGAACTAAAGCCATGACCTGTGACAGCGCCTTCTTGCCTGCTACCCCGAGACCCCTGCCAGGGAGAGCCCTAAATCCTGACTCTAGCTTGCCGTGCAGCTTGGAGGTGAGGACGTGCAAATTCGCAGAGATCACCAAAGCCCCACCACGCCTCAGAGCCCACCCACCCATCAACAGGACCCCGGGAGGGGGCCTTCTAAAACCCCCTGGCCTCCTGCTACATGTTTGGATTTAGGTAAATTCAACACAGTCACAGACGGGGCAGAAAACTATTCAGGCCAATTATTTCCGTGATAAATGAGGAGAACGCAGCCTAGACGGGGGATGTGATTTATGGAAGGACACAGAGGTAGGCAGTGGCAAAGCAGGGCTAGAATTCAGACCCCTAGTTCAGGCCTTTTTTATTTTTTAAACTACATTCATTAACTCCACACACATTTATTGAGCATCCATTAAGTGCAATGCATCCTGTCAGGGGCCAGGGATACACTGGCAAATAAAGTTGATGTGGGTCCTGGTGGGAGAGATAAAACTCACCCCTGCTACACACACACCCACACACGTAACCGCGGACTGTGGGGCGCCCCTGGATGGCAGGACGCGGGGGACCCAGTTAGTGCTGGTCCTCGGGCGTGACCACCGGGTTCTCCTGCGTGGAGACAGCTCAGCTTGCCCACGGGAACTGTAGAACTTAGATGCAGGAACACATTGTAAAGTCTGTCTCTTACTTTACAATCCTAACATCTGGGACCTTCCACAAAGCTGCGAAGCAAAATTCATCACCAGTGCCCCAGCCTCCTGTCCTACAATCTTTCCCACAGACGCACTGTTTCTCCATCCAGGAACCCAACGTCTTCACCATCACCTTTCTTATGATCTGACAGAAGATTCTCTTGAGAAAAAAATTCATAATTCACTCCCACTAAAGTGCACATGCCTGATAAAAGTTTAAGTGTTACTTATCTCAGGGGGTTTGTAGATGGACAGGAATCAAAGTCTTAGCTGAAGGCCTGAATGGCCTCGAGTGAGACCACAAGTTGGGGATTTGCTCTGGAGCAAAGGGGCTTGGCTCCGCCCTTGCAAGTCTGCACCGAAGTTAGGCTAGTCCCTTCTCCAACAGCGCCCTGGGGGAAGGAAGGTGCTGCAGGCGAATGGGCAGAGACAGAAGATATGAACTCTGAAACCAGATGTGGAACCTCACAAATATTACCAACATTTGAGCCTCCATTTCTTTTCTAGTAAAATGGGATAATTTCACTTGCTCTCAGATCAGGGGGCTGTCAGGTGGCCGACAAGGAGGCGGGGCAACTGCATCGGCCTCCCTGGCTTGTCTGGAGGGTTAACGAGCAGTCTGTGTAGAGCATAGAGCCAGGTGCCCAGCCCACACACGGTGCCTCCTTGCTCCCTTCCTACATACTGGGGTGGTGAAAGGACGGGGGCCTGGGGGTGCAGACTGGTCTGAAACCCTCTGGCGGAGAGGAGGAGCAGCATTAAACATGCAGGGGTCAGTGGGCAGCTGGGATAAGGCCTGAGTCTGGGGGCCGTACCGGGGCCTCCCCCTACTGGACACATCTTTCTCACTTTGTAGGATGTGACAACTGAGCAGAGTCTTCATGTCTTAAAAGTATTTTTTTGCCAGAAAGATGGGACTGAAATTAAGGGCACTGGGGCCAGAGTCCAGAGCTCCTGAAGATCAAGAGCACAGAGTAGGTGCCCCGGGAGGGGAGGTGAGAGCCATGGCCCCCCGGCGCTCTCTTGTGCAACCCCCGGTGTGCCGTGTGTGGGATGTCAGGAACACCTGGCCTCCCTGGCTGTGGCTGCTGGGACTTGCACGGAGAAGGACTGCAGGCTTCCAATGGGGCTGGATCGCTCTGGCTGAGGAGAAACCCGGGGTCTCACACTGGAAGCAGAGAGGTGTGTTGGGGTGGGAGTTCGAATCTTCCACTTTATGTGCTCAAGCCATCTAACGGCCTAAGCGAAGTCTGAGAATGCTGCTCCTCCTCACCTCTGTGCGCCAGCCAGGGGTTGCTTCACCTGCATAGCTCCTTGGTCCTGAGGTCTCCCTCCTCCACTGGGGAAAGATCTGAGACAGGCAGCGCCAGGATTCTAGACCTTCGGACAACAGTTAAGGGGATCAAGGGATACACTGGAGTCTCATTCCAAGGTATATCCATTCTGACAGAAAAAGCCAAATACAAAAGATCTGAACATCTTTGGGTGCTTGATGCCTTTGCCAAAAAGGCAACTGGACCTCAGTCAACAATGTGAGTGTAAACACATGTGCACGACTGTCGGCGGGTCAGGACGGGCGTGTCCGGCTGGCGAGGTCAGCATGGGGAGGATCAAGCAGAGAGACCGCCTCGGCTGCCCCCGCATTCTCAGAGGCTCAGGGTGGCAGGAGGGACCGTGCTGCTCACAGCTGGTCCCCAGTGCCGAGGCCAGGCTGGCTCATGGCAGGAGCTCGATGGTTGTTAGGTGAATAGTGGGCTGAGTTCCCACCCACTTATGCTCATGGAGAAGGGAAGAGGGAGGCCGGCAGGCAGGGCCAGGCTCTCATCCCTGGGCTAAGCTGAGCCAGATCCGAGCTGAGGCAGAGGGAGCCCGGGGCCTTCTGAGAAGCTCCTCTTCAAGGGCTGCTCCAGGTGGACAGAGGCCTCCCTTTGGTTTGTTACCAAGGGTCCCTCCATAAATTGGGAGTATGGGATTAGCAGATACAAACTACTGTATACAGAATAAATAATAAGGTCCTACTGTATAGCACAGGGAACTATATTCAATGACTTGTAATAACCTATAGTGAAATGAAATGTGAAAAAGAATATATATATATGTATGATTGAATCACTGTTATACACCAGAAATTAACACAACACTATAAATCAACTATACTTCAATAAAAACAAACAAACAACAACAAAAAAAACAAAAAACCCACAAAGGGTCCCTCTGCTTTGCACATGAAAACCCTTCTCAAGAAGGCTCAACCTGCCAGACTCCTGTCTGCCCTGACTTCATGGACTGCCTACCCAGCTGGGAATTCAGGTGTGTGTGAGACCCAGGGAAACCCTTGCTTCAGAGAGTCCTCCATCACCCCAGTTACAGAGGGAGGGGCAGCCTCTCTTCGCTGCACCAAGCTGCTCCCACTCCTTTGTGGACTGGGGCAGTGGGAGGGGGCGGAGCCGAAGGTTAGGCCTGGGAGGTGGAGGAGTGTCTGTCCTTCCATTTCGGTCCCAGTGGTCAGCCCCTGCAGAGAACACGCCCTTCCAGACAAAGCCTTGACAATCCTGGAATTTGCGTTAATAACCTGGGCACAGGAGAACAGGGAGGGCAAACGCACAATGCTTTCTTTGTGTCTGCTGGTTGGGTGCCTTGAGCCAAAAACCTCCTGAAACTCCCTGAAGATAACATGAGTATTTCTTCCCATGACAGGGTGCCACTAATTCCAATAACCCAGGCAGCCACATCTGCTCCCCTCCCTGAAAGTGCCTGGACAAGAAAACCAGTGCGTCACCAGTGTCTGGGGGCAGCTGCCGAGACAGCACACAGCCCTGGCCTGGTTTGGGGCCAGGAGGGGGCTTGCGGGGTGGAGAGACTCTGAAGACGCTGGGTCTTGCTACATTATCTTTCGGTGCCTCTGGGGAGTTGAGGAAGCAAATAACTCTACTCCAAGCTGCAACTCAGCTCCGATTCCTTGTGAGAGATCAGAGCCTGGCCCACCCCTTCAGTGCACCGGGGAATCTCGCTGCGTGAGACAGGCTGTGTCCTCGGTGCTTTATAAAGAGTCAAACCAGCTATCTTCTCAGAATGAAGTTAATATTTGTCAAGGGCTCACTACGTGCCAGACACCGTGGTAAGTGCTTCATATGCATGACCTCACGCAAGACGCATAACATGTCAATGACACAGGTACTCGTATCATCCTCACAACGGAGAAAACTAAGGCTCAGAGAGGGTAAGGAACTTGCCTCAGGTCACAGACCACAGGTGGCAGGGCCAGGAGGGGAATTTAAGCAGGGAACCCACCAAATCTGGCTTCTTAACCAGTCCATGATGCCCTGTTTGGAGCAGGTGATGCATGAGTTAGAGGACCACAATTCCACCCCAAACAAGACAAACGCGAGGAAGGGAAGAGGGAGGCCGCGGGCCCATCCACGGGACCAAGACTGTACATCCGCCCTCCCTCTGGGGAGCCCCTGTCACTCCTCAGAGTAAAACACGGAGATCTTTCCAATAACAAATTCTTGCAAAGACGCTGGAAACTGCATTCCAGCCTCTACTTTCTGTGGAGAACAAAGGCTATTTCGATAACAGTTGGGGTGTTAGGAGAAATTTTTGTTTGTTGGTTGGTTTTCTGGTAGCGAGTGCTGGGAATAAAAGACTCTTCTCGAAACCACTTCCCTCCCTTTCAGATCTGCCCTGGATTAAACTCTGGAGACTCAAAGCCACACCTTCCCACTTCCTGTAGCCGGCTGGAGCAAGCCCAGATTCTTCGCGCTTCAGCTCAGAGCCTCCGCAGCTGGTCAGCCTCTGCATGGGAGGTAAACTCAGTCTGTCCTCGGCCTGCCTTTGCTTGAAAAAAAGGCGGGTTCTTTTAACGTGGGCCCATTTCCTGTTAAGTGACCTAACTTTGGATTTCCCAAAGATGGAGCCAGGGCTCAGATGTGTGCTGGACCTCTCTTCCCGCCAAACCCAGTACTCAGTCCTGAGCCAAAGAGGGCTAAGCTTACTAAGACGAGAACTGTCAGTGGCTGCGGTGACAGTCAGGAGCCTCCACCAGGCTGACAGCACTGGGCTTCCTGGAGCCGTCACAGTGAGAGATGCAGTACACATACGATCTGTCATGTCAAACCCTCAGGAGCCTTACTCAGATTTTGGGTGAGGAGCTGAAGAAGTCATTTTTGACTAGAAGTCTAAAACCTTGGGAGAGCTTCACAGCCTGAGTGAGGTCCATGAGGCAATGGAAAGAGTACTGAAGAGAGCCTCCAACTTGAGTTCTAATTCCAGCTCTGTCAGAACGAGGTCTATGAGCTTCGAAAGTCACTGCAACTCCACGAGCCTCAGTTTCTTCATCAGGAAAACTCAGGAAGTTGTTGCACTGGGTGATCCCTAAGGGCTTCCAGCTCTAACTTTCTAATAATCTACATTCTCTTCTTCTCCCGTTGTCAAGATAAAATAGGGTTAAAACTGTAGGCTTACAGAAAGAAGGATTCAATCATCCCCTCCCACGGAGTGGCTCTGGGTCCTGGCTAAGAATGTGTTTCAGCATTCTCTGACATAAATTGCAGTAGTGTGTTCCTAGGTCAGGCTCCCAAGGCAACAGAAATAAAAGCAAAAGTAAACAAATGGGACCTAATCAAACGTATGAGTTTTAGCACAGCAAAGGAAACCATAAACAAAATGAAAAGACAACCTATAGACTGGGAGAAAATATTTGTAAATGATGTGACTGACAAGGGCTCAATCTGCAGAACATACAAATAGCTCATATAACTCGATAATAAAAAAAACAAACAACCCAATACAAAAATGGGCAGAAGACCTCAACAGACATTTCTCCAATAAAGACATACAGATGACCTATAGGCACATGAAAAAATGCTCAGTATCGCTAATTATCAGAGAAATGCAGATTAAAATTACAATGAGGTATCACCTCACACCGGTTAGAATGGCCATCATTAAAAAGTCCACAAACAATAAATGCTGGAGAGAGAGTGGAGAAAAGGGAATGTAATTTGGTGCAACCATTATGAAAACATATAGGATTCCTTAAAAAACTATAAATAGAGTTATCATATAATCCAGCAATCCCACTCCTTGGTATATATCCAGAGAAAACTCTAATTTGAAAAGATACATGCACCCCAATGTTCATAGCAGCACTAATTACTATGGCCAAGACATGGAAGCAACCTAAATGTCCACTGACAGATGATTGGATAAAGAAGATGTGATAATATATACAATGGAATACTACTCAGCCATAAAAAGAATGAAATAATGCCATCTGCAGCAACACAGATGGACCAAACTAAGTGAAGTAAGTAAGAAAGAGAAAGGCAAATGTCATATGATATCACTTATATGTGGAATCTAAAAAAATGATACAAATGAACTTATTTACAAAACAGAACAGACTCACAGACATAGAAAACAAACTTACGGTTACCAAGGGGAAAGGGGAGTGGAGGGATAAATAGGAGTTTGGGATTAGCAGATACAAACTGCTACACATAAAATAGATAAACAACAAGGTCCTACTGTATAGCACAGCGAACTACATTCAGTAACTTGTAATAACCTGAAATGAAAAATATATACATATAACTGAATCACTATGCTCTACACCAGAACGTTACAAATCAACTAGACGTCAATTAAAAAAAAAAGAATGCATTTAGAAGTGGAGAGAAAGGGACCTGGACATCTTCCTGGCCTTTTACCAGCCTGAGGTGGCGGAGATAAAGACCTGGGATGTATCCTTGGTGGGAGCCTATGCTTCAGGAACCCTTTTAGTGCAGTGATGGGCTGTTGAGAAGCAGTGTTATCTGCCCTCACCTTGTAACCCACCTCCGCCACCTGCCTGAAGAGGGGAAGGAGCCCAGGCTGATCAGAGGAAGGAAAATGTCCCAGGACAGGAAGGCCCCTCAGCCCCAGTCTGTGAGAGCTTCTAGGGCAGCACGACTGGGAATAAGGCCCAGGTTCTGCCCTCCCAGCCTCAAAATGCATCAAGTCAAAGCTCCGGTTCAGTGCAAAGGCCACAGGAGTCTCGGAATGAAAGAACCTGTTACTCACCGTTTTGGGGACGATCTGTTTCTTGGGCTGCCCAATCTTGAAAGGAATCCTGTAAGAGACAGAGATAAAGAGAGCTGTTAGGAGAAACAGGGAAGAATGTCACCGGAAAGACGACGAGGCATCACCAGTTCTCCCACCCTCCCAGAGGGTACAGAAGAGCGGCAGGGCCTCGCTCCCGGGTGCTTGGACCACGTGCCTGTGGGACTAGGACCGTTATCGGTCAGGCTGGGCTCCGGAACGGTCCTCCTTGGACAATGTCAGATGGAGGTGGCCCAGAGCATCTTTCCTACTAATAGTCTGTCATTTAAATACGTTCCAAAGGTCAAGACAGGAAAGGAGTCACTATATAATAAGAAATAAGTCACTAGAAACCCTGCGTCTCAAGGAGACACAAAATCAGAACCCACAGGCTCACCCGGATAGCTATCATCCATGAAAACGTGCCTTTAACCACAAATCCCACTATCATCTGTATTAGGGGCCTCACTGCTTCTCTACAGACAAACTGTGCAGGACTCCTTGAGTGACTGGGGAGAGATGACAAATTGTAGGGGTATCAAGGGCCAGCCAGGCTGGGTTATCTCATGCAAGCACTGACAACATCTAAGTGAGGCTAACTCAGAGGAGCCTGAAACCCAGCCCAGGTCTGCCCTGAACTCGATGGGAAGCTGTGCACCTCAGGTTCCCCACTTGGAAATGGAAGGCAGCTTGGCACAATGGAAGGAAGGTCCTGGTCTAGGAGGCCAAACCTGAGCGCTAACCCTGCCTCCGCCTCTGATGAGCAGGCTGCCCTTCCGCAGGTAGTGAAAGCTGGGCCTTAATTTCCTACTCCGTGAAATGAGAGGGTTAAACTGGATAATCCAGAAGCTTCCTTCAGGTGCTGAAGATTCCATTATTCTACAATTCTGAGAAGAGAAGAACTGTAGTGCACCCCAACAGCTACAGAAACACAGGCTTCTCACCACTAGGTAGAGGGAGCCAAGCACTCTGGCTGGGATCAGCTCAGGGAAGAGCCGTGTGTGCAGGCTGGACCCCACTCTCACCCCTCTCCTCTCAGTGCTCTGGACAAGTGGTCCTTCCACTCAAACCTCCCACTCCCCCTGCGGCCCCCACCCTACCCACCAGTCCCCTCCCTCTCCCGGAGCCTGGCTTCTCTTGGCCACACTGACCAACACTGCTGCTAAACCCAGTGGTATAATTAACCACCGATAATAACCCCAGACAACAATCTGGTTGAGAGGATGGGGCAGCCTGAGTCACAGCGGTTTAAATTTAATTTCTGGAGGACATCCTGTTTATTGTTAACCCAGCCCCGTAATTTGGGAGCGTTAACCCTTTGGGGGCTGGCCGATTCACGTGGCTTCTGTAAACAAATAATCTCTGGCTATATAATTATTGGGGGGAGAGAAGGGAAGCTTATGGAACTGAAAAGGAAGGACAAAAACGAAACTGCCATTTCCCTTTCTCAGGCCTAAAGAGGAAAGGTTCAGGGGAGAGGAGCACCTTAGTCCTGTTCCCCTCCCCTCAGTCACTTTTCCCCACATCAGGGACTCGAGCTGACTGACACAATGGTTTTGGACAGCGAGCAACTGCCCTCAAGGACCACTTTGGTGACAGTGCAAATGAGGTCCGGGTGGCATTGCGAAAAGATCGATCCTGTTCTGTGTGAAGCATGTTGTGGTAGAAAAAGCTCAGAGCAGGAATCAGAAAGTCTGGTCTCTGCCGCTGAATGGTTTCCTGAGCTATGAGACAAAGGGGTTGGACTAGGTGGTCCTTTGTAATAGCTTATCTAAAACCTGAGTTCTAGACTGAATCTCCGTTCCCAGAACACGGGGAGCGGGGTGGGAATTCTAAAGCATCCTCAGAGTGGTCTTCAAAGTGACTCTACCTTGAAGTCTCGCATCACAGACTAGACACAAAGAAATCAGGGACTTAGATCCCATTATTTGTGGTGCCACAGCCTCTCTCTCAATCCGAATTTAGAATCATACTATTTTTAGAACTGCAAGTTACCATAGAAATTCCTCCCAGCGCAACCCTCTCACTTTGCAGATGAGGAAGCAGATCTGGAGGGGTTCAGTGACTCGCCCAGGGTCATTCAACAACAGAACCCAGAACCAACAGTCAGGGCTGCGACTTCTCGTCCAGTTTTCTCTCTGCGACTCAGAGTTTGATATTCTTTCACGTGAATTTGCTGCATGTACTTGAAGGAACTAGGAAAAATCGTCTGATCAAAATACCTAACCTAAAAATACTACGGGATTTAGACAGGGTCCATCGTTACAAGACTGGAAATGCTCGAGGACAGCATTATCAGGAGGAGGAGGCTGGTGCTGACCTGGGCACTTCTGCGCAAACTCGACGTTGCGTGAGCCACATGGATGGAGCCAGGTCTCTCTCTGTAACTCCACTGCCACTACTGACAATCACCTATAACTTCATCATACAATTCTGATTATCTTTCAGCTCCTCTCTCCCAAAGCCCTGCCGGCTAAAAGAATACTCTTGAAAAAAAATAACTTTTAATCTTAAAAGTTTTAGATTTACAGAACAATTGTGAAGACAGTACACAACCTTCATATGTCCCACATCCAGTTTCCCTTGTTATTAACATCTTATATTAGTACAGTAACTTTGTCACAATTAACACACCCATATTGAAATATTAAAGTCTACACTTTATTCAGATTCCCTTAGTTTTGACGTAACGTCCTTTTTAAGTTCCAGGATCCCACCTATTACCAAATTCCACCTAGTCATTAAGTCTCCTTACACTCCTCTTGATACCTTCTCAGACTTTCCCTTGTTTTTGGTGACCATGACAGTTTTAAGGAGCACTAGTCCGGTATTTTATAGACTGTCGCTCAACTGGGATTTGTCTGCTATTTTTCTCATGACTAGACTTGGGTTATGGGTTTTGGGAGAATCAAGTGTGATTCTCACCACATCATACTTTGTGCACACGCTATCAACACAGCATGTGATACTGCTCATGTGAACCTTGGTCACCTAGCTGAGGCAGCGTTTCCCAGGATTCTCCATCATATAGTCACCCCTCCTCCCCTCCTCTCTTTGGAAGGAAGTCCCAAGGCACAGCCCACACTTAAGTGATGAGGAGTTACACTCCACCTCTTCAAGGGCAGAGTATTTGTATAAGTTATTTGGGATTCTGCATGGGAGATCTCTATTATCCATTTATTTATTCAGTCATTTGTATCAGTATAAACACATAGATATTCATTTTATATGAGTTATATTCCAATACTACTTCATTTTGTTGCTCAAACTGTTCCAGCTCTGGCCATTGGGAGCTCCTTCAGTTGGCTCCTGTGTCTTTCTGACATGCCCGTGTGTGTGTGTGTGTGTGTGTGTGTGTGTGTGTGTGTGTGTGTGTGTTAGTACTTCCTTACTTTCTGGACCACGAGATGCTCCAAGCTCCCCTTGTACGTGTCCTGCCCCAGCCCTAGAACTGGTGGAGGCGCTTCTTCACCCAGCCGTCACAGCGCCTCTGTAACATGGTCTCAGCCGTCCTCCCACTTTCCATTCCCGTTCACCCAATACAACTACCCCGATTCAGCCAAGTGGCTGTTTGTGTATCCTCCCCCCTCAATCCAGACTCCTTATAAATAATTTCCTGTCCCAAACAGAGACACTTTAAGTGTCAACATGTCATTAATAATTTCATCGAGACAATGGGCATAAAACTTGGACGGTCCTGGGTAACTGGGACATATGACCACCCCACTGACAGGGAACGCTTCCCTTCCTTCTGGCTTCATCAAAGCTGTTCTCTTGCTTACCTTCTTTGAAATGTCTAAGACTTTACTTGGCATTTTAAATTCTACCTTTTATGGTTAATTACAGTTCATCTCTTTAACAAGTAAAATACGCTCATCAGAGAAAACCTGAGAAATACAGAAAAGCCTAAAACAGAAAAAGAAAGAGAAGAGAGAGAGAAAGACAGAGAAGGAAAAGAAAAAAAGAAAAACCCAAAACAGCTCCCAGCCTCATATCAAAAAGATAATCAAAGTTAATGTTTTGGTGTTAATTATATTCAAAACATTTGCAGAAAGAAAAAAACCTGAAGCAAATATGCCAAATGCTAGTAGTGGTTAATTTTGGGTGGTGAGAATATGATTACTGTTTTCTTCTTCGCACTTTCCATATTTTTCAAATAAACTAAAAAAAAAATCCCTTAAGTTTTTTTCCTTGACTACAAAAATAACACCTGATCAATGTCAAAAACTTGGAAAACATGGAAAAACACAAAGGGAAAACACATAGACACACACACACAGGCATGCACACAAAATCCCAGAGCAGAACAGTAATATCCCCAACCTCAGTGTGTACACGTGTGTGTACGTGTGTACAGTATATGCATATTTACGTAACTTAAAAAAGAAACACTTATCATAGGAATGTCTTTATATGTCAATACATAGTTCTCATCAGACTGACTTTTAAGAGCTACCTTGTATTTCATTAATCAACAACACCACTAGTTTTATTTTTGTAATCCACATTGCTTACTGGTGGTCATTCCAATGGTTTCACATTTTTCTTCTATTATAAGCAAAAACTCTATTGGCTAAATCTTTGGGTACATCAAGGCTTAGTCACATAGGATACATTCCCAGTATTGGAACTGCTGGGTCAAAGGACATATGCAGGTTCAAGACTTTGATTCACTTGCCAAATTGCCCCAGGGACAGAATGAAACAGTTACATTTTTTAAAGGATTGAAATAGTTTACACTTTCCCACCAGCCCTTTGGCTGGTACATCAGGAATTTTTCCCCCTGCCTAGTGTTTACCATTCCCTTTTGTGCATGTGTGTGTTTAATGCACAGAAGCTTTTAATTCGTATGAAGTTTAAATCGACCAAATCTATCTTCTTCCTTTATGATTTCTTCTTCTGGTGTGCTACTGAGAAAGACCTGCCTCCTCCACACCAACATACAAACTTCATCTAAATTTATTACTTTTATGATTTCCTTCTATTTATCTAAGGTTTGCTCTTATCAAAGTTATATGTGTACACAGTTCG